CAATAAACCATTTAAAATGCCTGTAGGTAATAGTTTAGCGTGAGTTGGGAAGATATCATGGTAAAAAATTTCTGGAGAAATTTGTTGCTCTGTTAAAGGAATCAGATCATGAACTTGTACATTTAGAGGCTCAAGTAACGATTGAACAAATACTATTTGTGGTTTGTTAAATCTGGGCCAATGCACGGATAAGAATAGATCAGGATTGGAATTAAAAATTATTTGTTCAGGGTTAAACCGTGCTTTATATAGTCCTAAAAAGGTCTGCACAGTAAGAATGTTAAAGCGACATAATAAGGTTGGTATTCGTGCTTCAACGTTTAACACTACATTTGCAGTATACTTTGGAAGTCCTAAGCAGAGCTGTAAAGCCTCTTTTTCCAATAGAACGAGCGGCCGAAGTTTGTAGGCTGGCGCACCAGAAAAAAGAACGCAGCCAAACTCCAACACAGGTCGGACATACATTTTATATATAATCAAAAGTGCCTTACTTGTCATACCTGATCTACAATTGCTCAACCTCCGCAATACGCCCATTGCACGTACTGCTTTCGTCGCGATGTATTCAATGTGAGGGTGCCAATTTAGATGTTCATTATACATAACTCCAAGATATTTCAATGATTGTACTTGTGGGATATCTTGAAGCTTGTAATTAATAGATATGTGCACGGGATCTTTGATTGGAAAAACGAGAATAGCACATTTACCTGTATTAAGGTTCAACATCAATCCATCCAGGCAATGTTCTATTTCATTAAGATATACTTGCAAGATAGTGTAGAGAGAGCGGAAGTCATGTGCCATAGCAAAGAAAGCAATGTCATCGGCATAAACATAGGTTTTCACATCTGGATGAACGGGGAGGGTACTAAGCAATATGTTGAATAATACCGGGGAAAGTACTGACCCCTGAGGTACACCTCGGGTTTGCTTGTGCTTACAGGAAGAGAAACCGCCTTGATAACAATAGAATTCTCTTCTACTTCAAAATTCCGTCACCCATGCTACTATATAAGGTGGAAGTCCATGACTACATAACTGATTAGTCAAGATAGAATACTCTACACTATCGTATGCTTTACATATGTCTAACGTTACTAAAGCCGCAAACTGCTTTTGGTGACGGGCAATATGAATACGACTTTCCAGATCTACATGTGCATGCCATATGGAATATCCAGATCTAAAGCCAATTTGGGAAGAACTCAACAGTTGTTTTTCGTTAATAAACCTAATTATAGAACCATGAAGTACCCTTTCAATAAGTTTTACTACATTAGATGTTAAGGCTATCGGTCGTATGTTGTCTAAATTATAGCCTGCCCCCTGTTTCTTAAGCAATGGTATAATTTTCGCAATTTTCCATTCAGAAGGGATCCATGCTCTTCTAAGGTAATAATTGACGAGACCTAACAGATCATTCGGATATTCCCTGTGTAGTATTTTTAGCATTGTATTTGTTATTCCATCGGGGCCTGGTGCTGCATTTGGCAATCTTTCCATAGCCTGATTTAATTCGGAAGTCGATATTTCTGTGTAGTCATAGATGGTTGTTGTGTAAACCGAATTATTCTAGCTTCCCGTTCGTGCTCATACGTCTTCGTATTCTTGCTCTGTCCTGTCTATATCGGTACACTTAGTGTGGCAGTATTCTGACGACGTCGCGCAAGATACGAATACGAGATGCGGGAAAGAAGACGGGACAGGACTGTTCTTTGTTGCTTTCCTTAACATGTCTTCACCTTTTACATTAAACCATCGAGGTGTAGTGATTCGTGCTTAAATTATGGGTAATACATTAAAGAAAATAACGAAAAACTCACCCAGTAATCCCTGCATTGCGTATTAGCCATGAGGTGAGAACAATAGCAACCAGGACCAGTACTTTTGGGTACGTTTCTTCTTTTTGGTGTCTATATTGATTACTTGAAATGTAGCTGCGTACCGATTCGAACTTTACCGATTAAATTTATTCTTGGCCAATACCCCATGAGCGAGTAGGAGCCATCATCATCATCACCACCACCAAGCCAACCAGATTGATGCTGCTCAGTTTTCTAACCTATATTAAAAGATTACCTGGTACTTACGTCCATGCAAGCAGTCACAGCAACTGATGCGTCACAAAGTGAAGAAAAATGCGGCATTGGTATTTTTTCGCCTACCCTAGATTGGTCCTTTTCGCTTTGCCTTCCAGATTTTGTGCCAATTTTTTAAAGCAAAATTTATATTTACACACAGCTGGTCTGGAAGCCTCCCCTCATCGTCCTGTTTTTGAAGTAAATCAGTCAACTGAACATTACCTCATTTCCTGTAATAGATACTCTGCCTTACGCAAGAAACACTTTAGGTGCCGCTTTCCGTATTCTCGGAATATACCTAAATGCGCAAAATGTGCAATATTTTGGGGCTTTGTCTCTTGGCCACAGTGACGGGAAGATTTTTGACGCATTACAGGAGTTGGTCAAAGGTTCAAAGACGTTTAATCGTTGAAATCATTATTCTGTAGATCTTATGACTTCTCCCAAATTCACTTTAAATAAATTGCGCCGCTCCATTACATTACACCACAGTTTATTTACTATTCTACTATCAAAGCTGTCCTGTTGCATCTGTTTTTTATCGTAAATAGAGCAATCGTAACCTGTTATTAAGGAAGTAATTCATGAAAACTATCGGGTTCTTGGCCAATCCCCCAGCATGGGTGTGCGCCACATCTTCAAGGAACTTGAATGGACTTGAGATGTTGATTTTTCCGCGGTTGTCTCTGTGGTGCAAGACTATGCTTACCTACCGTCAAGTGCCAACTGACAGAGCTACTGACGTGTTCGGGAACGTGTGAAATTCTGTGGCGTCCACCTGTTTAATAAGAAGTGATTGCGAGACACGCCGTAGTGGAGGGCTCTGCAATTTTCGGGCATTTGGTGTTCTCTAACTGGCGCCGACATCGCACGGGCCTATAGCATTGTGCGTGTATTCAAATGCGACCCTCGCAGCCGAAGATCAAACATGAATCGTCAGGGTCACAAGTCAAGCATTTTGACCGTAGGCGTATCAGCCGGTGGGGGCAAAAGGGGGCTAGTCCCCCATAAGATGAAGTAAGAAGGCGGAGCCCCCCCCCCCTCCCACTTCCGACAATGGTCAATGTTGGCTGCGCGATGGGGAAACAAACAACTAAGGCGATGTTTTTTTTACCACAGTAATCACTCAGTTATAATGTTACGAGGGGATCAATATATTACGAGAAAATATTACAGATTGTTAAGAGGTTTATTGGCGGACCCTCCGCGATGATTCACGACAGCGACAGTCAATGCGGGGACTCTCTGCACGAGCTCCTCTTCTTCCTATTAAAAGGGCGGCCCACTAGAAGGCGCTGGAGAGGACGACCCACTGTTCAAAGGCTTCACCACAATATAATGAAATATTTCCAACAATTCTGCTGTGAAGATTTTTCTAGGAGACTCTTTGTGGTGTGGACCGCTGTACAATGATTTCGCGACTTGTGCTGTAAATTGCAGAGCAGGCTAGCCCTAAACAGGGCCCTATAAGATTACATCACAGGCTCGTGCTTTTATTCTGCTGAGCCTGGCTGGCTGATGCAGGCAGCTACAGATGGGAATGAGCAAAGTTTTTATGGACTAATGAAAGCATTTGCTGCTGCACGAAAATAATTTACTTTCGTAGAAAAGGAACAGCATCACCGCTACTCTGTCGAAGCTGCTGTGAGCCTATGAGCGTGATGAATTATTTTCAATGTTTGGTTTTGCCATACTGAAAGAGGAAAAAAAAAAAAAGACGTTTGCGCTTAAGTCTCCTTTCGACCAAATCAGTGATCAGTTTTGTTCATGGTACCTTGGGACGGTGGCTGTAGCTTTCAAAATGGCGACGAATAAAACAGTGGAATCAAGCAGTGGGAAGCTCAGCTTATAATCTTTCCCTGGAACTTGATCCCATGAACCAGGAAGATAGGTAATGTTTCTGGTTTTTGTAAGAAGTAGACTTAAGGAAGCGCACAAATGCAGCGCTGCTTATTCCCCTTTCTTTCTCGGCAAGTGTCAACTAATTGTATTAATGCAGAGAGTTGTAAGGTGATGCAGAAAAAATCACTGCCATATGCACATAGTGATATGATGTAAGGGGCGCTTGCTCGGAGATGATAGCGCAACCCACGAATCCTTTGTGTACATCTCCCACCATCATATATAGACATGACAACGTTAGTATATATCTTAGCACTGTCCGTTTGCGTGTTTCTGCGCATACCCCATACTTTGTAGTAGAAAAGTGTGTCTTGTTTGCAATTTTTTCATACATTCATAATCATGTTGCACAAGTGCCTATGTTTATTGATAGTGACACGATATATGCCATATCTATGACGATAATAGTTAAGCATGTGTTGGGGGCTCCCACCATACTCTATTAAAAATAATGCATTTTTGCGTGTACACTCTATTCCCTGACGAAGGCCGACTTTCCTGCGGATACTTTGGAAGGAATAAACATTTTCACACGTTCGCCCATCGTTTCTCGTCGCAGATGTGTATATATATATATATATATATATATATATATATATATATATATATATATATATATATATATATATATGTAAAAGAAGGTGTTCTTGGTTCCAGTGGAAAAATACGAAGAAGTGGAGGACGGGCAAAACGAAAACTTTTTATTGTTCCTACGTTTCAGCCAGGGACCGGCCTTCATTTTTTTCCCTGATGAAGGCCGGTCCCCGGCTGAAACGTAGGAAAAATAAAAAGTTTTCGTTTTGCCCGTCTTCCACTTCTTGGTATATATATATATATATATATATATATATATATATATATATATATATATATATATATATATTCCGGGAACAAATTAGTTAAGCTTGCCCCCCCCCCCCCCCCTTCCCACTCGTCAAGGAGTTGGTACCCCACTGATTGTGACCACAGAGACGTACATCCAACTATTTAGGCCAGACAAGAAAGACACGAGGGTTTTGAAGGCGTTTCTTTTATTCATACAGTATAAGTCACTGAGAATCAAATAAAAAATTGCGAAAAATAAGAACAAGAAAAAAGAAAGAAACACCGTTTCGCGCACACATTCGTTGTCCAAAGAAGGGAACACTTGTCTTGAATTGGCGAGGGGGGAATCTACAGGAAATGGGGAAGACAAAGAGGAGATGTTTGCTACGGCTATACGGAAGCACGCTGGGAATGATAGCTACGTCGAACAACGGTACTTTTAGTTAGTTAAAATTCAACCACCCCTTCTTCCGCGCCACAACGCCGTTAAGTATGAGAGTTGGAGTATGAAAAGGCTCGATTACGAACAGTACAATTTGGCTGGGCCAAGCTTATCCGCCGACCCCGTCGCTCCCATCTCTTCCGCCTGGAATGACACCGACATGCTCCATTGGCACAACGAGTAAATGCGATAAAATCGGAAAGACAACCGCGGATTTGTAAGTGTACGCTTGTGTGCGTTCTATGAAGCTAATGTAGATCAACGGCAATGATAAGAACAGTGAGGTGTCAGCTCGATAGAGACGATTGGTTGCACTCCACTAGAAGGTTGGAGCACTTCACTATCAAGATGGGTGAACTGCCCGCATTGGCCTAAAAGTGAATTACATCCTGAATGCTCGAAGTTCAGTTGCGTGCCGAAAGAGCTGCATGGTGGAAGCCTTGCATTGTATATGTGCAGCCTTTCACGGTTACATTATGAAGCTCAGTATTCTCGTTACATTTTGCATTAAGCAGTGAACTTGTAAGGACTCGCCGTCGATGTATTAACAGCGTTACATAACGTGAGACCATTATGATGTTTTCGTATCACCTGAATAAGTACTGCCAATAAGTAGTATTTCCATTGGCAAGTTCAGACATTATACCAGAATTACTGGACAGCGCAACTAAACACTGCGGTAAGCAGCAGTCCTTGAACAGCCTTCGAATTTGCGAATGTTCTTATCCTTTTTGAGCTGAGATACTAGGGTATGCACTTCTTTTCAAAACTTACGAAGCTCGTTATAAAGGCCGGTGCATTGCTTCGTTTATGTTTGATCAATTCTATTGAAAGCTTATTCACATAGCGCGACCATTGGTGATCATGTTGACGCGTCGACGCCTTCATCGATGAAGAATTGTGATAAGAACAGAATTGGAATAGAATAGTTACAATATTCACAGCATAGAGTTTGTGTAAATGTGAGAAGCGATCGCTGATCAAATACTGGTGCGATCTCAAATAAATGCATCAGAAGTGTTAGACTGTTAGGAAGTATCGCACGCCAGCTACAACACATAGGTCGTCATTTTCAATCCTCATGGTGGCTCCACAATCGACTTGTGAACTATAATAGGTTCAGCACTCTGTAGGTGTGCGCACGTTGGATTTGGCTTTTATCCGAAGAAGGCTGACTAGGTCCGCAATCGCAAGAAGAATCCGTTCAAGACATTAATCGTTAGAATCTAAGAAGATACACTTTTCATGATTTACAATATATCGTGGGAAGAATAGAACGGTGTAATTTTGTGAACCCGCCTATATAGTTACTAAGTTGGCTAATGACGCTGCCGAATGAACTGTGTACACTGCTTTGAACGATCTTTTAGTTAACTATAATAAGCAGCTTCATTACCTTTATTCACTACACACTGTATACCTAATGACACATTCACGGCAAAATGCAGCAAATGATTAGGACGTGTAAGTCAACCCGTGTTTCGGGATACAATGAAAAGGCAGAGTGTGATGTATGAAAACGAAGTTAAGCTACCCGATGCTGATCCCAAGAAAGCGAAACGTGAGCGATTCTGTACTTGGCTTTCGAATATTTTTCCAAATTCCGACACCGACATTGTTGCTGTCTTACAGGATTGCTAATTGATATTTATATCCGGGACATAAGTGCCCAAAGCAGGATATGAATATGAGCCAAGCCGCATTCTAAAGGGCTCCGGAAATTTTGACCATCTGGCGTTCTTGAACGTTCACTGATATCTCAAACAATACGGCCTTCTAGCATCTGGCCTATATCGAAGCGACTGCGAATTCCATCTCAAATCTACTCCGCTTGGGTCAATCACTTACATGCCAGCATACACGTGATGTAAAAACAAGACCACTGCAAGAGCGACATGATAAGGGCCCGAAACGTATTTCTCTCTATGAAGAGTGAAAAAAGTGTTGTCACGCTTGCTGGAGTTTCTTCGAAACCGAGCTAAGTGATTACGGATTACGTGCGAGTGTTGTCGCGGGCTGATTCATGTTCACACAGAAAGAATACGAAAGGCCCCTAGGCGCAGTTCAATATATAGTTGATAATTTGGCAAAGTGAGCCACACTTCCTAACATCCTCAATTTAGTTCAGCGCCGTAAGAAGGGGGACAGAAGAGGATACAGACAGCGTACTTCCTGCACTTACTTCGTCACGTCGTTCCAAACTTGAGATGCGCGAATCGTACAGACAGCCAAACCTAATTTTGAATCAATAATGAACACGTTGTCCGCTTACTGGCACTTGCAACGACGCCACGAAATAGGCCGCGCGTGTTTGCTTTTCTTTTTCTCGCTTGCGAGAACTCGCCGAACGCGGGTACCCCTTGATGCCATTTAGATAGCCTACACGTGACGTCACGAACGCAGCTGATGACGTCAGAGCAGGCAGTTTTTACATCCGGCGTTGGAAGGTCACCGCGTCGACTTCGAGATGACTGCGTTGTTTGTAGGAAACAGCCCCCTTCTGCCCTCGTATTTTTCGAAAGATACTTCCCGGCTGCCTTCTCTCCACGGAGCCAGGTCAGCTCGTTCACTCTTCATCCTCCTCGTCTTCTTCATCTGAAAGCAATGGTGGCAGGTCACATAAGTATATCGTTCATAAGCTACAATGCACTACATTGTAAAATAAAGTTCACGTTACACTGGTATAATGTATGTACTAATACTATACTGCAAGTATACCCGGTTTTTCAAGAAACGTGTCCAAATTTGTAAAAACGTTAGCGAAATGCGCTATTTGTTCCACACCTTCACAATTACTTGTTATGTGGATCCAGGCATCTTAAGATGGCCGGAGATATCATTTGGTTGCTTGAAATACGAGCGCATAAGGTCGACAAGCACCGCTTGTTCGTGTCTTAGCTGTCTTCGCCTACCTTACACGCTCTCATTTCAAGCAATTGTGTATTATGAACTTGGCAAACCATCCATTTTGACATAGTTTTGTGCGGTAATTAGGAAAAGTACATTCATTAACATTTTAATTAGTGGAGTTGGATGACCACGTTTGATAGGCGGATTGAAATTCTGCATACGAAGCACGCGTACCGGCTTTCATATATAGGAAGAAGCGGCTTCTAGTAATTATTGTATCGTAAACAAATTCAACCCGAAACACGTCCCATACGCGCAACGAACAGATGACCAGAATGAGGTCGCTTTCAAGACAAAGATCACAGAGGTGTAATTCCTCCTCGTTCGTTAACGTATGCGCGACACGCGTGCAATAATCGCAAGCTCAGACCACACATAAACACAACGAACTCGGTTGATGGTTGACATAACCACGCTCAGTCCTTTTGAGCGTCTCGGAAGGATACGGCAGTCGCGCTCTTCTACGTTTTGTTTTCGCCGCTGAATTTCACTTAATTTCACAACTTCACAATTATCACCAGATACCACTTTTTTGTAAATATGAAAGGTGCAGGGAATTCTTGGCACGAAGGACTTCATAATTATCCTATTTGACATTTAAGCAAAGTCCACTATTGATAAAGTTGATCAAAATATTTCTTACTGTTTCAAGTGATGTCTCTCTAGCAATCTTAAGATTCCTTAATCTACAGAAGAAGTAACCGTGAATGTATCAAACAAATAACCCATTTTACTGATTTCTGAGAATCTCGGACGCACTTCTTCGAGCCCCCAATTTGGCAATTTGCAGAGGAAAATATATCAATATAATCGAACGGAACATCTGGCAGAGTACTCCAACGGCACTTAATATGTACAATCTTCTCCACGGTACGTGATAAAAAAGAAAGGTTAACTCAAGAGGTTCATTATGACCTTGTGCTCTTTAAACGTCTATCAAGGCAGCTTCCCTCAACTCGCGGAAATACATAAGTATTCCCTTAGAGAGAATAAAAAAAAGCCGTTTTACTTTTTTCTTCCGACAGAGCACTAGAGCGACACTCGATCACTCGGGACAGCGTATGCCACCTTTCGCGGGACGAAGGATTCCCAATCGGTATCTTTTTTCTTATATTAACTTCCATCCAAATAGACCTGTTCTCTTGCTTTTTAGATTAATGAATTAGGTTAATGAATCACTAACGCGAACCTCTTCAGTAAGCACTGAGATTTGGTAGTAATTAGGAACAGCCTCGATTCGCAATTAGAACTAGATTAGGCACCGTCCTTCGCGGCGGAGGCTCGGAAAATCTGCACTCATCGCAAAAGTTTTACAAAGTTGAGATCGGGACGACTCGGGTAGTTCCACGTACTTCTGGGTCTCTCTTTCGTTTAATGTAATGGCCCGTTGATACCACGACGTCAACACCTTAAACATAGGTTAGTATAGACTGAGAACTGTCTCAAGGTCTCTCCACACCAGAAAGAACAGTAGACACAAGCTATATGCGTTTTAGTATAAAGGAAAGAAGTGTACACTTAAGGGTTCGTTTTTTTTTCTTAGACACAATATTAATTAGATCTAACAGACAATCATGCCAAGATGTGTATTGGGGATGTTGTATGATGTAATCGTAATCGCAATGTGAAGAAAGATGAGTGGAAGAAAAGATAACTTGCCAATAACTTACCAATGTGAAGAAAGATAAGTGGAAGAAAAGATAACTTTTTAAATAACGCGTCCGATACTCTACCCACTGAGCTACCACGGCGGCCGTTCCCCTATTCACTGCATCAGGTATATATGTGAAAAAATATGTGATTACTCATTTAAATTACAATTATCTCATACAAAACCCCCAAACTTTCCTTGGCAAGAGTGTTTCTTGGATCTCATCAATAGTGTTTTAGTATAGTGTGACATACAGTTTGTAGGTAGGTTGGCCGGTCTGTCATGCTTAAAGGGACACTAAAGAAGACTTTTCGCGTTTTAGTAAATTACAATTTCACTATTCCGAAATGTCACTCTTACTACGACACGATGCTCGATAAGCGAGAAAACGTACCCGTACAAAAGGCGGCCGGAAATGCCCCGTTCAATTTCTGTACCAAACACCATGGCGTCATAAACATTGAAGGCGTCTACTGGGTCATACGTAGCTTTAACCGATAAAAAAATGAAGCGCGTTCTCGTGTGTGAGTGCCAGAGACATAGCATACGAAGTTTTAGAAAATGTTGTGGAGCCAACGTCGCGAAACGATGGCAAATACATTTGGAAAAATTTGACGCCACGCGCGGAAATTTTGGCGTGAAAATTTTAAAATGAAACTTCACACTTGAATTTTCTCCGCTAATAATGAACCTATGGTAGCGAAAGATGTGACATTACAGTGGGTCAGAGCGCAGTTTTGTCAATCTAAATCAATGTAATTGTTTCTTTTTAGTGTCATTTTGAAGTACCATGGTGACTCAGGACATGAGAGATGCGATTAGAGATGAGAGAGGGCTTCGAATAGTTTCACTAGAAGGGTGTTCTTTACCGTGAGCTGATATATTTTTTATTTAGCAATACTGCAGACCACCACGTGGTCAACGCAGGAGGCAGTTGTCCATTGATCGCAGAATAAAGAAAAAAAAAGAAAACATCGAAATCACAGCAAAAAATAAAAAAAGGCAATGAGAAAAATGAGAATACAAGAAAATTGTCAAGTACCAATCACGAAACATAGCACAGATTTTTCCAGTTCGCATACCAAATCATTACATCCTCAAAAGTGGAGAGCAGGGGCATTCCATTCAGACATATTTCTAGGAAAAAAGCTGTGCTTATGCGATATCGTTTTAGCGAAAATTGGGGCAAGTGCCATACTGTGGGAGTGTCTAGTCTTCCTATAGCTGTGTGGGGACGTACGCAATCAGGCATGGTTAATTTTGCATTTCCGGTAAGGCAATTTTAAAGAAAAAGCAACCTGTTGACCTGTCTGCGCGATTAGAACGATGGGACGTTGTTGCCTCACTAATGAGCAAGGCGAGTCGGTCATTCTATACATATTCAATATCAAGCCCACTGCTTTTCTTTCACCTCGTACGCGGGTCTCCAGCGCGTTGCCTCACAGGAAAGAGTATTGCTGCTGATACTAACAACATTTGGGCAACACGCAATTGAAGAGAGATCGCAGTGCGCACCCTGCTTTGGCTTCCGCTTCGCCTGGCGCTGGTCCCCGTTGGTGCGGCAAGGCTTGGTGACCACCTTGTGGCTCTCGCACGACGCCGTGTTGCCGCTCACAAGCGGCATGGTCTTGGTCCGAGTCTGCGTCGCGGGGTCGCACTCGCTCCACTTGACGCTGCGGTTGTAGCGGCAGCCGAGACCTGCGACGAGCCACGGTTTGAAGCCGCAGTGCTGCAAGGAACTGCAACGCTATAGCGTGTTGTGCCGGGCATAGTATACCTAGGATAATCCCGTGATGGTGAATATATGTTACCCATAGCCATATATGCGTCGAACAAATGCTAGTCTTGCGAGGACTGGGCAACTTTGGAGCACATGCTGCAGGAGTGTGAACGGGAAGGCAAGGGGTGGGGGGGTTCCGGACTGAACGTTGCGTCGAACCGAGTTTGACCAAATGCGCTGGGAGGCTAAGCCAAAAGCTTTGAGCTGTCCAGTGGGCCGATAATCCCATTACAGCTCAAGGGCTTGTGGCCGACGCCTAAGCTGGAATATCCCCCAAAATGTACGAACTTGTCAGACTTTTCAATTCAGTATATATATTTTTTCGTAATTCTAACATTCTCTCAGACTTAACACAACAAATAATAAAAGGAATTTGAGCTGGACGCTGGCCTGTATTAAAACGTTTTTAATGCATAGCATTGCTGTGAGAGTGACGCTTCTCTCCTCTATCATTACCCACGCTTTGACTAGGGAGTGAGTCAGCTTTTATTGCCACCGCCATCATGTTCCGCAAAAACACCTTATCGGTAACATTGCCCCACTCTTGTTTGTTGTATGTTCTTCGTGCTCGTTATTGGCTGTGAAGGTTTTAGTTGGGGTTGTCCGAACAAGTAACGAAAAACTGAGGATCGAGGGCGAAGAATGTATAAAGAAGGGTGTCCCAGCTCCAATGACGTAGAACCTGGGTAAGCGCGAAGTGTGTTATGAGAGATTTCTTTGATGAGGCGCTATAGTGGTGAAATCCTGAAACTAGACATGTAGGCAAGGGCGTTTTCATTCCATTAACGTCGTCGGAAAACTGCGTCCACGAAATGCCGCCTTACCATTCAGTTCTTATTCTTCTCCCCGACAGGCCCGGCTTCAGTTTCATACAGCATGTAAGGAAGAATGTATCGGCTCCATCAACGTCATCGGCAATTTGCACGACTAACAGCCGCCTTCTTCATTTTGAGTGATGGGATTTACCCATTCTGGTGCGTACCCCTTTTCTTTATGACTGCATATCACACCGCAACGACAGGAAACGGTGACAAGCCTATAGCGCCTGAGGTGCTTCGCACCTAAACTTGGGGAGTGAGCTAAGCTCGACTTCCAGATACGACACCAACAGGGGGTGGGTGGGGGCAAGATCGTTGCAGCAAGACTGTCTTCGATCACGTGACTGATCTTTCGCCGACAATCACCGACCAAGTGGTCATGCATCCATGTTTCTAAAAGAAAAAATCATCGTAACGGCCACGAGCCACGACTCACCGGACTTGCACTTCTTGGTGACTGTGCGGTTAGGCTCGCACGTGGGGTCACTTCTGGGCTTGAGTTTGTCCACCCGGGTGCGCGTGTTGGCTGTCACGTTGCAGGCATTCCAGGCGCCCTTCTCGTAACGGCACGCTGCGAATGAATGAAGCAAACAACACACGACACATTAAAGGGCTGGAAAGCAGTGAAGTCAACTGTATAACAAATAGCTCGGGTTTACTCATTTTTCTGGGTTAGGTTTCACCACCGAATATCATGCCCTCGTCGCGCATATAGTATCGCAGAAGACATCGGCAATGATTTCCACGCCAACGTACACAAAAATCACCCTGAAAGTTGTTGTCGTTGTTCATCCTATGTGGAAAGGGATACAATCGCCTTTTTTGCACCCTTTTGCAATCATTGCCACGATAATCGTCACCGTCACCGCCGTCATCATTATGAGCTCGTTATATGTCCATGACGGGAGGAACGCTCCTTCCAAGAGTCGCAAATTCAGCCTATCTCGCGCAATCCGGACACCCCTGCCAACACTCGGCTGTCTTTCCCATCCCTTAGTGTCCATTTCACCCGCTCTCACTGATCAACGTTTATATGTTCTTTGCAATGCGTGACCTGCCGATACGGGACCTTCACATTAGGTCACATGACCTATCCTTGTGTTCCCTTCGAGTTCAGTTGTCGCATGGATTGCTCCCCCCCCCCCCCAATAATTGCAAGCAACAACAACAACAAAAATCAATAAAAATAGCACTAGCTGACCATAGAGATTTCACGGCTTGAACTTTCGCGATTAGATTTCATGTGCAACACTTTTGCAGCACTTAGCCTGCAAGCAATGTCACACCGATCGCATACGTACTGCGACAATTAGGAGAAAGTGGCCCTCTTTCTTATTGTGCTGGTTAGTTTAATTCCTGGTGTACGTACGTTGCAAAATCAATGGGCATGTTCATAACCAGCCTAATGGCAGCAAGGTTTTCCGGACCCCTGAGGACCACACTTAGATAGCATTTTTTCTCTAGAATCATTATTGCATTGCGTCGTTTTCTGGCAAGCAATAAAAAAAAAACCGAACGCCATTTCGTGCAGTGCTCTTATGCTTCTAGAACTAAATAATACAGAAACTACAGGCGACATGCTCTTATGCTTCCAGAACTAAAGAGTACCGGCACTACAGACAATATCGACAGGGCAATGGATGGAGCATTTGCAATAAGTGCAGCGATCTAGCAAAGACTAGCGGCAAGAGATGCGGGGTAGAGAGATGACGTGTTCGGTGGTAGTTTTAACGTCAGAACAGATCACAGACGTAATCCACCCCCATAATTTGTAAATCGATATCTGATGTTCACGGAGGCACCATAAGATGCTCTAAATCAGAGTGCAATAATGTCCCCGTGTAGCGATAGAGCAGAAACACCATTAAAAACGGCAATCGGGCTAGGGTCCGATACATTTGACCATCAGCACTGGGTACATAAGTCGACACTCGGGCACATTCCATAAGGAGCTCGAGAGCCGCCAGCTCTGCGATACATTTATAGACGGTGCGTTTCGAAACCTTGGCCGACTCTGATCGACCGAGTGTCATGCGACGGCGAAGCATCGATGCACAAATCGAATTTCGCTCTCTGGGAAGAGCGCCGGCACATCGGCAACGAAAACTGAGAACAGTATGGATTCTTCGGAAATTCGCTGTGGTACGTGTTTTGAAAGTGCAAGTCATGCAGTTAACAAAAAAAAAAGAGAGAGAGAACGAACTCTCAGATTTGGAAGCTTCGTCTTACGAAAGACGTCAGTGTTGAAAGCAGGCTTGGGATTTGTGTCATGTGACGTTTCACCAGTGGATGATCTTCTGGGCTATTACACTATACCCAACCTATCCGAATGCTAACGCAATAGGAGAACGGCTGCATCGGTGAAAGAACGTTCATTTCGTTTACCCGAAAGCAGGATTGAATCAAACTTAACAGATCAAAACGACAGATACATCACTGACTAATTGCCTTGTTGAGCATAAGAGGGACTTGAAATTTTGGAAAAACTAGTAAGCGAAAAATATTGCGTCTTACAACACAAGGCAACAGCAGTGAAATGTAAGTTTTTTACTTAGTGAAATTTGGTGAAGACGTGCTTACACGAGGAAAAAAAAAATACTTACTTGATGTTGGCACTGTCAGAAGGGTTAGCAAGAAAGAATAGAACATGATAATTTTAATTATGGTATCAATAACTTCTTGAAGCATAGATAAAGGTGTTCACGGCACTTCATCATTGCGTGCGAGTGACCTGCACTTTTGCTTTAACCGTTTAAAGATTGATGCACACCTGTTTGAAAAGTTTTAAGTGCTTGGAAAAAATGACAACGCCAATTAGATGCCTGTATAAATAGTTATTTTTTCCTGCACACTTATTTATTTTTCCTCCGGCCCTTTGCATGCGCTGTTTATCGCCATGCTCCTCAATGATTTGGTTATTTAGCTAAGGTTTTTTTTGTTTGCGTCTCGTGTCATAAAATTCCGTTTAATACCAAGTGTAGATCTGCTGCAGCATTTCCACACACACCCCGAGTACATTTCTAGGGCGTTTTATTTGCGTGAGATGCAAAGCTATCCAGCACACACCAACAAGGTTCGAATGTACATAAGTAGATATGCATTTACATATATGAGTAACAATGTTACCCGAGTTACAAGACCTGCGTAGATGCAAGCATAAGCTTTGACTCGGCTTCATTGCTTGCCTGCTACTGAAGTTGTCCAATCAGCTGGTACATACTCACCAAACCGAACAGGGAACATGTGAATCTACATATTCAAACGTTGTTCGTTCATGCCCCGTAAGGAAGATGTTTTTTTTTCGCAGTTCACTTTACTTCATTTAAATTCATGTCATATTCACTACACAATAATAAGAAAAAAACATTATGCACCCTTTGCATTCCTCAGCTTAACTGTGCATCAATTTTATTTGGTTATTTTAGGCAAAGAAACGAACCCTCAAAACAAATTCCTAATTCTGACGTTATTTTATAGCGAAGGCCTCGTACCCGGTGCCTCAGGTAGCAGACGAGGGTTCACGCTCAACTGCTGCCTCGTACAAAAATCACGTGACGCGTGACGCCCTCTGGTAAGAAGTGTGTTCGACGCTGGCTTCGTCCGGCGCTAACAATGCTAGAGATTGGGCCCACATAAATACCCGACAAAGTGAACGAGGGAGTGCAGTCCGTCGCTGGTATATTGGTATTCGAAGTCCAAGGGTGACCGTCTTTCGTGATAGTTGGTTAGGTACATTCAACAAAGCCGTAGTGCTCTGTTGTGGGAATGTGAAGCCATCGGCCCCGCGAAGACAGGTCGGCAGATATCTTGTCCCGGACTCAACGATCAAACCCTGGCCACTCAGAGTGCCAGCGAACGAGCCGCCAACTTAGCGGTCCCTACGTGAGACTAGCGGGTATGGCGCGGGGCTCCCCTGCGTCGATCTTCTCTGGACCCCATTAAAGTTTTCATGATCATCATCATGAAGCTATAAATATAATAGCACTGAAAACACGGGCACCAAGGAAAAGAACAGGATGTCTTGCGCGTCCCGTCATCTTCCTTAGAGCTGTGTATGTGTTTCGTGTGCTATGTCCCGCCGTGGATGCGCTATACATCGGATGCTCGGGTGTTGTGCAATTGGACGCTCAGAGCGACTCGGCTGAGAATAAGTAATGTTCAATAGATGAGCTTGACATTCGGGATATCAATGAATTCCCCTTTTTTAGATGCGGAGCATCTTATACTCGCGCCTTGTAGTGCGCCGTCCGCGCCGTCCGCACCGCTTCTCGAACATTCGACAGCTGACGCACGCGCATGCGCCGTCGCGCCGTCGCCCACTCTTCCACCATCTGTGCATCCCTTCCTCCTCTACACACCGCGCGCGCTTCACTCCTCCACCATCTGTGCACCCTTCCTCCTCTACACACCGCGTTCGACATCTACAATTCTGCTGATTCTCCAGTGGACGCGCATGTGGCGTCGCGCTTCGAGAACATTCAACAGCTGACAGTGCATGCGCCGTCGTGCTGTATATATACTCAAGGTCGGCGCTCGCTCGCTCAGTTGCCGCTCGTCGGTTGGTTTGTACGGCGCGTCGACGTCCAAGGTCGCGGTGAAATGAATTCCAACGAATCCACAAACACAATGATCGACGTCCCTTCGACCAGCGCCGCCCTTTCGCATACGTGTGTACGTGTTCACTCATTTAACACCCCCTCCTACAACCACGTTAACCACTTTAGCCATCGACCCAAGTAAGTCGCAATTTAACACCCCATTTCACAACCACGTCAACCAATTTAGCCATCGACCCAAGTAAGTCGCACTTTAACACCCCGTTAACCAATTATATGGTCCGCATCCTCCTCAGTGTTCCCCCGAGGGAAGCTGCGGGCAATTTTTTAAACTCTGGGCATATGTTTGAGTTTGTTGGCCAGCACACCAAAAAAAGCAATGAAAGCCTTGAAAAAGGAATGAAAGGACCTTTATTATACACAGCCATACAACCAAGCAATGACTTGCATGCACGATTGCATTGAAGAATTTGGAGTTGTCAAACTTCCGAACGCTGTAAAATTTGAAACAGCTCCTTATTTTTCATTTCTCGTCGACTTTCATTACTTGAAAGGGATCAGTATTCCTACGGAATAATGGTGTGTGTAATAAATCCTGTCTTGCACCAATTTTTTAATCATTTCTACTTAGCTGGGTTAGACAGAGACCTCGATGAAGCATTACGAGGGTCGCAAACTGTCGAAGTTTTCCGTGTTCTCAATAATTTCCTAATATTTATTCCTAAGTGCAGTAGCACGCGCATTAGTAAACCCTCTGTATACTTATTAGATGTAGAAATGGTATATTTGTGTGTAAGATGATGATATACATTCCATGTACGATTGTTCGTTTAAGCACGTGGCTTAAAGACGCACCGCGTTAAGGCTTGTGTACTGTTGATTCTCGGAATAAACTGCAGTGTAGTAAGTTGACAGTGCGGGTGAGTTGTCGTTGATCTTGAACACTACTAGCGCGACAAAAACGAGGACGAGAAGAAACACAGACTACAGCGCTGTTGCATTGGTCGCTTGATTGATTGATATGTGGGGTTTAACGTCCCAAAAGCACCACATGATTATGAGAGACGCCGCAGTGGAGGGCTCTGGAAATTTTGACCACCTGGGGTTCTTTAACATGAACCGAAATCTCAGCTCAAGAGCCTACAGCATTCTCGCCTCCATTGATAAAAGAGCCGCCGCAGCCGGGATTCGATCCCGCTACCTGCGGGTCAGCAGGCGAATACCTTAGCCACTAGACCACCACGGCGGGGTAGCGCTGCTGCTCTGTCCCGTCTTAGAGGCGTTATACGTCGGATGCTCATACTTGGCTGTACAAAAAGGAAAAAAAGAAGAAGAAAAATGAGGATCTTTAAGCTTTGCCTTTAGGAGTTGAACGAGACAGCAATATCCAATTAGGCTTAGGGCTTAGTGTTGACATTCTTGGCGTGTTTTATGAAGAGAAAATTGGTTATAGGAGGAAATAGCACTTGCGGGTAGGTAGGACCTGAAGGGGGGAACGAAACCACTGTCTTGTATTTTTGAACACGGAGTGATTTACAGGCACTTTAACTGAGTTTATCATTGAGGGTGCCTTTGATCTTATCTTCCCCACGAATGTGGATATCCTCTGGAAACCCTTGCGGGTGACAGCCACGCCTGCAGGATTACCGAGCACGCAGGGACAATTCGCGAACCGTACGCGTGATATTGCGCAGGGAACAGCAGCTTTATCGCGCAGAACGGGTGGCATCCGCAAGCACGGCGGTGCCCGAATTTACAGCTTTCACAATTTTGCCCCACCGCGCGGTCTCTGCATTCTGTCGACGGTCGTCCTCGCTGACCACGCTTGTGCAGAACGTGCGCGTCATGGTCGTACAATCCCCACTCGCGCTCCCCATAGCAGTCACCCGTCCGTGCCGAAATGAGGCGCATCGTGATTGGGGTGTAATTGGAAAAATCGATCCCTTTCGTGCCCACGGGCAAAGCCCACCCTGTCACGGCGCGTTCTCTGCACGGCCCCACCGCCATGCTTTCCTTCCTTTTCCTCTCGGCTTGCCGATGCCTCGCCATCGTGATTTAGAGCGATGGCCCGACAGAACTTCCACGAAAGTGAGAGCCGGGAAAGCTCTCCGTGAGTACTTTATTAATGTGCGGGTAAATGATGTATAAGGGTGCATTCACCCTGGCGACCATCGCGCGACCAAGTTGGTTGATATCTACCCGGGTGCATGTTTGGGCACTAGCCTACATGAAGGCTCGGGCTTGGGGGCGGGGGGCAAAATGGACGGTGAACACTTTCGGAATAGAAAAAAATAGGTCGGAACAGCCTCGCTTTTAAAGAGGGAGAAAGAGAGACAAGGACGGATGATGTCCTTTTCAAATATAAAAGTAACTCGTTCAACAACCTCATACTGTGTGTTGAATTTGCGTAACGAAATTTTGACGATGTGTGTATTTTTTAAAGTGTTCCGGTAACCACTCCTGCATGGGCCAAGAAGGGCAAGCGGTGTATTAGACAAACAAAAACGAAAACAAAAAAAAGACAGTTGGAACACGTAAGTAGAATTGCGAATATTCGGGCTACCTGGTGGATGTTCATCAGGGAATAACTAGAATTGCAACAATGTCACAAAACAGATAGCGCTCGCGTCTGGTCCGTTTTCAAAGTGCGACTTGCTATGTAGCTATTTCACGATGGCACGAAAGCGAGGAGTGTCTTCGGGGATGTACTTACGGATTAGATGGGCGTTGAGAAATTCATGACTATACATTTGCAACGTGTGTAGTGTACTTAGCTGTCTATTAATTTTAATCGACGAGTTTTAGCGCACCGCCGAATCGATGTATGGACCAAACGGTCCGAATTTCCTTGCGATAAACAGGTATCCGAAGAAGCATAGCTCAGTGTGCTCGTCGCAGAGCTTGGCAACGTTTATGAGCCAATGACAGGTTTATTTCATTTACTCCTCTCTTACTAAAAAAAATGGCAGCATATCCACGGGGTGAATGATGGAGAGTGGGGCGAAGCATCCGTCCGTTCATGCGTACGTCCGTGTGACCGTCCGTGCGTCCATCCGCCC